ATTCTAGGAGGAAAATAAAGGTGAGTTTCATTAGAAAAGTATATGGTTAAAATGTAAGGCTTATGACACATTTAACAATTTTTAAAAATGAAGAAAAAATTTAAAATTTCAATAACTAAGTTATAATTTATCCGGTATAGCCTAATATGTAGTTAAAATAACTATTGTACTTTAAATCAAATTAAAATTTGACCCGAAAAGTTATACAGGATGAGAGAAAGTTAATATTAAACACTGGTCACATTTAAAAGTAATTTACTCCTTTATTTTAAATAGAACACTCGGTATATTATTTCAATACTTAATGGAGAATTCATATATCTTGAAAATACTATTAACGTTTCCCGTTTTTTAAACGACGATTTTCCTAGAAATTTTCATTTTTATGATTTGGCGTCAGTAGATCTTTATTATTTGATAAATCTAGGTGGCTGTGATATACCTTTTGTTAATTTAACAAAAATTAATGTATGTAGAGTAAAATACAATTGATAACTAGTTGTGAAGTTAAACTAATTACTTCAACATAGATGTCATGTTGAAGTAAGGTCAGACATATCAAAGCCACCTATATTTTACCAAATAATACAAATCTACTGTTACTAAATCATAAAAATGAAAATATCTAGGAAAATATTTGTTTGGAGGGTAGGCAACCTTAACATTTTTTCGAAGAGACATGAATTCCCCATTGAATAACGAAATAATATACTGGGTGTTCCATTTAAACTAAAAGAGTAACTTGCTTAAATGTGACCAATGTTCAATATTAATTTTGTCTCACCCTGTATAACTTTTTGGGTCAAGTTTTAATTTCATTTTGAGTACAATGGTTATTTTAATTACATATCAGGCTATACCGGTTAAATTCCAATTTACGGAGCTTTTATAGAAATTTAAAATTTGTTCTTCATTTTTAGAAAATGTTATAAGTCAAAAACCTTACATTTTAGCCATATACTTCTCTAATGGAACTGGCCTTTATTTACCTCCTAGAATCCGAAAATCAGTTAATATACAAGGTGCTCCATTACAAAAAAAAACAACTTTGATGTGTAACTTTTTTTGGACGACCTATAAATCTCATTAAAATTTTAAAAAATGCTCTAAACTAACCTAAACTGTCGTTCTACTTCTCCTTGGAGCCTTCGCGTTGTATGAGAGGCGCCACCCTGTATATTATTATATGTAGGTGGCTGCAAATTAGTATACTTACGTAAAATTAATAAAGAAACCACTTTTTCAACTATTTCTTTATCAAAAACATCATTTTTAATCTATTTTAAAGCAAAAACTAAGACTTTTTATTTTAAATCTGTTCTACCTTAAAATTTCCTTCCGAACTGTTCGCATATTGATCCAGCCCCAACCTGACCAGATCCATAACAAGCTTGAACTGATCGTCCCCAACAGCGTCCCTCTTGATCCGCCTGGTGTGTCCCTCCACCCCGATAAAGTTGTCCACGTAGTTGTCCAGCGTGTTCTGACAGCCGCCGAGGGCGTAGCAGATTTTGTAAGCGAATATCGGGAAAAATAGTGTGGTTAGGGCGACTAAACCCGCACCGGCAACTATAATGGCTGGAAGGAACAAACAAAAGCGGAAATAATTAAAATCGGCGAGACCGGAGAACTTTGTTTAATTAGATTTGGAAGTTACGACCGAAAATATAACAGTTTATTTGGAGAAAACTGACTGGGAGGTATACTGGGGTGTTGTAGATGTATAGGAGGGGGGGGGGAGTTAATGACAGCGATCTTATAGATCCTTTTCTTGAGTTATAACTCATCATACAGTCTCGGGGTTTTGACAAAAGCCAGTATCTAAGACGGTTTGACCGAGGTTGTAGAATGTAGAACGTAGAATGTTTAGGAGGGGAGTTAATCACACCGCGACCTTATAAGATCTATTTTGTGTTCCCCTTTCTTCATACAGTCTCAGGGCTTTAAGAAAAGCCAGTATCTGAGACGGCTCCACAGAGGCCAGCTCTCCATCCTCAACATCAGACGTACCAAGGTTCATGGCACGAATGGTCGTCGTCCCGGCGCACTCAGTGATAAGGTGTTCTGGTGTTTCCCCATTTTCCCCACAAAATCTGCATTCGCCGTTGTTTCTAAGTTTCAGCCTACTGAGGTGTTCGTTGAGGAGACAGTGTCCTGTTAGAAACCCCGTGACAATCCGAAGATTGTTTTTACTTAAATCAAGGAAAACCTTTGATTTTTCTCGGTCATAAGTTCTAAGGAACTTTTTCGAGTGTCTTAAACCGTTGGAGGACACCCATTCTAAGTTACGGATGGAGTCTTCCAGATTCTTCAGTTCCGCTTTCAGTTGGTTCCCGTTTGGAAAACAGAACGGTTCTGGTCCAGTTAGTGGAGTGTTCGCTCCTTTTCTAGCTAGATCATTTGCTTTTTCATTGCCTTCTATCCCTTGGTGAGCAGGCACCCAGAGCAGGAGGACTCTATTTTCTTTGCCTAATTTGTTGAGCTTCTCTAGGCATTCTTTGACCAACTTTGAATTGATGGTTACTGAGTTGATCGCATTAAGTGCTGCTTGACTATCGGATAGGATGGCAATTTCCTGTTTTCGATAGTTCCTATCTAAGATAAATTGTACGCATCTTTTGATAGCGCAAATTTCTGCCTGAAGAATACTGGGATAGGTGCCCATTGGTTCGGAGTATTCAGTTTTCGGCCCAAATACTCCTATCCCTGTCCCTGCTTTGGTTTTGGAAGCATCAGTATACCACGTGATGGTATGGTCTTTTATATGCTGAGTAAGCGTTTCTTTCTTCCAATCCTTTTTACTACTCAATACTACAGTGAGGTGTTTCTCAAAGTTGTAAATTCTTGGTATGTCATCCACTGGGAGTTGGGGAAGTGTTTCTTTTTGAGGGTGTCCCAAGCCTCTGACCTGAAAATTCTCCCAGTACTGTTACCGTCAGTAACCATTCTAATCATTGTCGCATTGGCATAACTACCGACGACAATGTGCAGTGGTGTTAGGTCTAGAATGACCTCCATTGCTGCTGTTGGACATGTTCTCATGGCATCTGTGATGCAGATACATGCCAGTCTCTGTACTTTGCACAGGTTTTGCCTTGCTGTACGTTGCTCTAGTTTTGTATACCAAGCAACTGCTCCATAAGTAATCATGGGTCTTACTATCATGGTATACATCCAGCGCAAAATGTTTCCAGCGCAAAATCGCTACGAGTAATGGTTCTCGAGATATTTGGAATCTAAATTACCAATGCCTGTCATCAATGACATAAATTAACATGTTGACTAATTAGTTATTAGACTAAAATCATAAATTTGAAATGTTTTTGTGCCAAAAGTTCAACAGAAACTGTTTTATCATCATTTTTTGGAAGAAAAATTTATGATTAGTTTAAAAAATAAAAAGTTCCCAAATTTCTCATTTCAGTCAAATAACTATCTACTCAACATGTTTATTTTTAGACAATTATGAGATGTATTGACTATTTCCATTGTAAATATGTTGAGAACGGTTGCTCGTAGCGATTTTTACCAAGAGACATTTTTTACGTAGAAAATCACGGAAATGTATATTTTTCACCCAGTAATTTTATACAGGTACGGACAAAAAGTTATTACTCTTCAAAACAGTTAAAACACATGTAGGTGGCGCCCCCTACAAATAGGAGTCATATTGACATCAAAATCAAATTTCTCACGTCAAAAAACTTCCAGACACCAATTTTCATCCAAATAGTTCTGAAGTAACGTCAGTTACTTCAGAAATTATTTGTAAAAAATCGAAATAAAAATGAAACTTCTACACCCTGTATCTCCGAAACTACGCATTTTAGGACATACATTTATATGAACTTTTTTACTTATTTTTGCCAGTAACATATGCTGCCGAAGTTTCCGGAATACAGTTCGGACCACCCTGTATACGAAGCAAAATGCATACGTATACACGCGGTAGTCACAACTGCAATGTGTAAACATAGTTTAAACGTAATATTACAGTTGAGGGTTGGAACCTTTGGTGTTACACAGCAAAATAAAAACACTAAATCACCACAATACACCAAAACACTTTTACTTTTACACTGGACGCGCGTTTCGCTAACCATGTTAGCATCATCAGCAGATGATTATAAACTGAGAGTATATAAACTAGTTTATAATCATCTGCTGATGATGCTAACATGATTAGCGACACACGCGTCCAGTGTAAAAGTAAAAGTGTTTTGGTGTATTGTGGTGATTTAGTGTTTTTATTTTGCTTAAACGTAATACACAAGCACTGTGTATCCTACGGCACACTATGTATCCCTTACTTTGTGTATACGTAAATGCTATACTGTGGCTACATTGTGTGAGGCGGACGTTTAACCTTTGTGCATACGTGTTGAACTACAATGTGTAAACGTAGCATATTTACATCGGGGGAATTGTGTCACCCTGTGTCTACATCTAATAATGTAAGCACATCGTAAATGTGATTTGATGTGCTGTATGGGTTTCGGGGAGTAGTTTTAGAGGAAAAATTGTAACACCGTGCTCGGCCGAAAAAATGGCACCAAATGGCAGAAAAATAAGTTTTTCGCAAATATCTACCAAAATATAAATAATAATATACTTATAAAGTTTCCCGAAATTCTAAAAAAGCGGAAAAGACCACTCACGAATAGTTTTTTTTTATTAAAATGTGCTTAAACAAATACTTCAAACTTTCTGAGTGGTTTAAAGAGACTCTAAGAACAACTGTTAAAAAATCTTGACAAATAAGCTATTATTAGTAAAAATTTGAATAAGTTGTAGTCAAATCTGAAAATGTTTGGGCCAAGGTATGTTTGCCCGGATTTTTATTATCATAAAATTTGTAAATTATGCTATTACATTACTTGTAAAACCTTACAAGTCCTACATGTTAAGTATTTTGCCACCTCCAATAGGTAAGCCTGCAGGTTATCCCAATCGTATACAAATAACAAATAAAATCAACACAAGAATAATAAAAAATATACCTGTAGTAATAGCTGCAATTTTATAGTTCTTCCATTGGAAAAAAGATGATTCCGTCTCTTTCAACGCTGGTTCTTTTCCCGCTTCTAACGCCGTATTGGCTGGTAGAGCATTTGCGATTGTGAGAGTAATCAGCAAAATGTAGTAAATGCAATATCTTCCAGTCCTAGAAAGAAAAAATGCATGTTTAAATATATTTTCGGTAGTGTATTCTTTAGTTGCAACTTAATATAAACAACAATGAGGCAATGTAACACCAAAAAAAGAGAATTTTGGACAGTTTATGTATGTCTCTGTAATTTTCAGAAATCTGGTGTGGTATAAGAACAAAACAAATATTTTTATGCAATTACAGAACAAAAACAAAAAAAAACACTAAATCCCCACAATACACCAAAACAATTTTACTTTTACACTGGACGCGCGTTTCGCTAACCATGTTAGCATCATCAGCAGATGATTATAAACTAAAGTACAATCTACAAGTTGAGCGTTTATATACTCGCTCAGTGGACACCGAGTGGGCGTGGCAAAATCTAGTCAACCGAGTCAGAGCTCACTGAGCGTAACAGTTAGATTTCCGCCACTTGAGTAGTACGAACAAAGAACTTGAAGGAATTGGACCGTTGACTCTGTTCATACTATCTTTACATTTATTAATTCTGATGCTTTCATATGCATCTAATTGCCTGTAATTTGAGACTTGTTTAATTAATTTTAAATTATTAACATCTATACAATGTTCTTCATCAACAATATGTTCGGCAACGGAAGATTTATCCAGTCTACCATATCTTATCTGAGCTAAATGTTCTTTAAATCTAGTTAATATTGATCTTCTAGTTTGCCCAACATATTTCTGATTACAATCTTTACAAGAAATTTCATAAATACTCGACCTTTCCAGTGGAGGAGTTTTCTCTTTTGGATTACCTAATAATTGTTGTAATTTATTATTAGCACTATACACAAGTTTATAATTGACATTCTTAAAAATTCCTTTTAGACCACGGGATAACGCTCTATCAAACGGTATCGAAAAATATTTAGACGTATCTTTCTCCACTTGAAAAGTCGAATTTTCAGAAATCATTAACCTATACCTACGTTTTCTAATTAATTTATCAACTAGTGAAGGAGAATATTCATTACACTCAGCTACATTCCTAATATAATCTCTTTCTATTTCATATCTTTCGTTGGAAAGTGGGAAACTAAGTAATCTATGAACTAAGAAATTTAAACTAGCCATTTTATGTTCAACACTATGATGTGATTCATTAGGAATATCTCTGCGTGTGGTCGTATTTTTCCTATAGATATCAAATTCCAGGCAATTATTAGTATTTCTACTATTTCTCTAATTACAGAATCTTTTTATCCACTACGTGATATAAAATTATATGGATTTTTTTCTGGTTTCAGAGGGTTTCTTGGGTGATGATGGTATATGATCGGGTGATTCTTGGGTGATAATAAAAGGATCAATAGTCTCTTGAAGTATATTAAGATACAGATCACCTGTCAAGTTTCCTTCAATAAATAAAAGACCAATAATGGCATTTCCAAGAATACCAGTGCAAACATTAACTTTTTGAGGATAGTGTGTATGTCCTTCTCGAAAAGTATGCTGGTTTTCGTCACTCTAATATCGACAATTTTGATTGGTTTGGTTTGGTTTGGGAAACCAGCTGTTCAGCAGAATGTTAGGGTTGGCGGTGGCTATTCTTCTATCAAAACCATCGTCATAGAGTTCTTGAAGTATCTGCATTTTGTATGGATGGACATGCATTTTCAGTGTTATTCTTACAGTCTCATGTGATATTCCTGTCTGTTGTGCTGCTGTCCGCAAGTAGCTGGTGGGCTCTGCAGCAAATAATCCCAAAACCTCAATTTGATCTTCTTCATTCAGCACTCGTAGGGTATTTTTTACTAACCGAACCAGTTTCGGAGAACTTTGCCACCAAATCCAGCACATATCTGTGACTTACTTCACGATTATGATTTCTTTCATTGAAAACCAATTCCGTTCTTCGTGCGCACTTTCCAACCTCTCCATAAATGAAAATAATGTTTTTTTTTTAAAGTTCTTTCTTGAAGAGAATAAACCATTCTCACACTTTATGCACTTATAAAAAGTTATCACTGAACATCCCAACAAGCAAAAGTGAATTAAAAATAGTAATATTTCTGTTTTGGCTACATCTTTTAAATTTGATGAAACATGTTAAAACAACAATGTATTGTATGTGTAGAGTGCGTAATTTTTTTATATTTCTTTTTGATGTAAATTTTTTGAGGTTAATTTGCTAATCCCGAAACAAAGTTTCAAACGGTGCCACCCATGGCCGTAGCATAGGGGAGGCAGGGGGTAAGTTGCCACTCATACGAATTTGAGACAAGAAACCTTAATGATGTTTTCTGTTTATTAGTATTTCGACCCCCCTAGAAAAATGTAATAGCTACGTCCATGTTGCCACCTAATCTTCTAATCATTTGTACTACAAGGAGACCCATTACAATAATTTTTGTCTAATTGAGTTTTTCACTAGCCCGAAAACCAAAATCTCAATGCAGGCATGTTTAATTCTTTTTGCAACTTTAAAACGCGATTATTCGGAAACTTTTGGACAAAAAGGAACAAAGTAGGATACCACTGAAAAGATAATTAAACGGCCCTTTAAACTATGTGCCACTTGATCTCCATTCGCATTCAAGATCGTAAGGGTGAATCTACCCCTCCTAGAGGGTTCAAAGAAAAAGGCTAAAATATTCATTTAAAGTGTCCCCCTTACAAATAAAATTGCCGTGTCTTTCCGACTTTTCATATTTTTAACTGCAAGAAAGATACACTGAAAAAAATATTGTTCATAGGGTAGGATAGCGCAAGAGTACGCACTTAATATTTATTGCTGAATAACATTGAAACAAAGTCGTTTTAAAGTTGAAGTATATTTAGGAAATTATAAAACATGCATTAATTTAAACATATAACATTCCAAAAGTAATTTAAAAATGTATTTGACAAAAATATCTAAGTTTAAATAAAAACATGCAAATGCGTACTCTTTGGTGAATATTCCCCTAAGAGTTCGCACGTAAATTCCTAAGAGTACGCATTCTAATTGTACGAGTTAACCAATCGTTAAAATTACTTGTCACATAAATCGCATAAGAAACTACCACTTCCAAGATAATTAGAACAGTCCTCATGCCACCAAGTTTGGCAAACACGGCACATTAACCAATCAGAGTAACTAAAATTTTCATTGCATCCTGGACAGATAGTGTTGTCTATTTTAGTTGCTGAAGCTTGTTTACACTTGAGAATTTTTCTTTTTCCCTTTTGTGCCTTTAGTTTTTCTTCTGTCTGTTCTAATAAATGTTCTTTATATGGGGTAGAGGACAGAATTTCAGACCTTTTAGATTTTGTTTTCCTAATTTGCTCGTATTTAGCTTTTGGCAGCGGTAGAATCATTTTGGGTGTTACAGAACAACATGGGTCAGATTCATTTAATTTAACAGAAGATAAACTGTGTCGTGGACTCTGATTTGCATATTCTTTTTGATTTTGATTAAATATTGGACTATTTGTTGGTGTCCTATTTTCTTTTTCTATTGTTATTTTTTGTTTTTCTTGTCGCTGCAATTCAGCCAGTGGTATTTCATCTTCATCAGACCATTCTATTAATTCATTTCTATTTATATCCTCTTGTCCTTGACGGTCTACATCTGAATGAAATTTATCAGTGACTTCAGACGGGGCAAAGTCTGCTGCGGTAAAAATATCAGGATTGTAGGGATATATCCCTGTACAATCAAATGATTTTTCACAGATCTCTATTGTAGCGACTTTTGAATAAGCTGAATGGAAAAGCGCTGCCATTTCTCTCATTGTGATTGGTCTCCCAGGATTACTAACCATCCATTTATCACATTCTCCAGAAAAAGCCGTTTTTAAGGGGAAGAAGAATACTCTGTCCAAAGGCTGAAGCTTATGACTTCCGTGGGGTGGTAATGTTAAAAGTGTAATAAAATGGCTCCTCGCAAATAAAACTGCTTCCAGAGAGCAATGTGAAATATGGTTGTCCATAATTAAAACTACAGGATCCGACTCGGAAGGTTTAACAAAGGTTGAAAAATGGTGCAACCAAACTAGAAATAATTCTGTGTTCATATACCCAGAATCAGATATCATCTTCAGTGTACCTGGAGGTGCCCCATAAAAAAGTTCTTCTTTCATACGCTTTCTAGCGAATATTAAACCTGGCGGTACCCAGGTACCAGAGGCACTCATACAGCATACTGCAGTAACTAATTGACCTCTGTCGGCTGACACTATTTTTGATACTGTTCTTTTGCCCTTTACTGCATAAATTTTATGGAGCTTGTTTGGAACAGTACAAAGTCCCGTCTCGTCCATATTAAAAATTCTGTGTGACAGCACTTTTGTTTTTTCGTAGACAAGTTTTAAATTTTTAAAAAATCTGTCACACTGGACTTTATTAAATCCTGTAGCCCGACCTAAACTACATTTTTCTGGAGCTCTTAAAGATAAACGATTTCTAGCAGCAAAGTCCTGTGCCCAATGTTTCCCTGCCATTAAATTTTGTTCGTTAAACCTATGAGAAATGTGGTTTAGTTTCGCGTATTGAAAAGCTAGTGATCTAACATCCTTCATACGAAGTCCGTAAAATCTCGCCTCCAGATCGCGAATATGATCCGCCAATTCTTTTTCTTGTGCTTTCGAAAATATTGGTTTAAATCTACCCAAGCTAGTTGGAACAGTGCCCTAAAAAAAGTAAAACGAGGAATAGTTTAAAATTTTAAAGTAATCCTACATATTACTTCACGCAACCTCTTCCTTAGAGTACATTCATTTACCCCCAATGCCTTTGCAACCGATCTTTTACTCTCTCCCTTTGATATTCTATCGGCTGCCATATTTAACATTTCTTGCGTAAATTTTAGTACTCTATCGCTCTTTCGTTTGTACGGGCTCATTATTATACTGTTTTGGAATTGTCTACAGCATAAAAATATTAAAAATTAATGCTTTAACGTATACCTAAGAGTACGCACCTGTGCGTACTCTTAGGGAAACACATAATCAAATTCTAAAAACCAATTTAACCATCTAGGCAACTAATAAAACTTTAATTTAACCTAAAAGTGTCTCTGTAAACAAAGCACTTTTTATTACTATTACAGCAGTTTTCATAAAAACTGAATGCACAAATGTATGTACCTTACTTGTTGTATTACAAATATTATAGTAAATAGGGGAAAATATCATTTCTTACCGCCAATTAAAGAAGGGTTAAAGCAACACCATCAGATTTTTAGACACTACTCCTATGGCCGTTACCAAGCTACTTATGCGTTTATATTAGGCAGATTGCTTGTCACTTCGTAAATATGGCCGCCGCGTACTCTTACGGAATGCGTACTCTTACGCTATCCTATCCTAATATTAATGAACGTTGATTATTAACTGTTGTTTCATTGGGACAATGATTTTTTTCATTAATATTATGATTTGTTAATCATAGATCGATGTCCGATTTATTAATACTATGAATCTAATTTGATCAGTATAATGAAAATAATGAACGCGTTCATTGTCCCAATGAACGCGTTCTTTATTTTAGTGCTGAAACTTTAATAAACACATATTCATTATATTAATGTACTAAATCATTGTGACAATGAACAATGTTATTAATACAATGAACACACTACATTATATTAATGTACGCGGTTATTCATATCATGAATTAAATATTAGGGCTTAAATGTCCGCCATGTTGATCGGTTACTTTGGCACTTTAATAACGTCTGTGTTGTTGAGTTATTCAGTGAGGCTTTAGTTTCATTAGAGCGGTAAGTGTTCTCTTCAATATTTTAAATATTTTAAATAAAAGTCCTATCGTATTGTAGTTAAATTGTTGTGTTGTCAAATCAAATTCCGCTGTGTGAGATCTCTGGTGTGGGTATTCATTAAAACAGCGGTTTCCAAATATGTTTCAGAAGATAAAAAAGAAGAAGAAGAAAAACATAGTAACAAGTCGAGGCATGGAACTGATTATGGTAAATTCGAATGTTCTTTTAATATTTGGCATTTTAATTATTTTGATATACGTCTTTTAGAACCGGAAGAAGATGTTGAGACCTGCCTTCAAGCCCTCAAATTCGACAATTTAACATCGGACCCACTTGATGCGACTTGGAAAGCCTGTTGCAAATTCGTCTAGACGTTATCAAGTCTAAGGATACCGCTAACAGCTAATATAATGAAGAAATGGTATTTTTATAGAAATTCCTCAGGATATCGACTGGTAAATTAATTTTCTTATTATAATTTACCCTAAAATTAATAATAACATTACTATTCTCTTCGTTGATTCCATTTTTTTAATTTTTAATTTGTATATGCTATATCGAGTTTAATAAATTATTATTAGTTTATTGCACTTGTTTTTTATTAATAATTCCTAATGGAAAAATTTACTGTGCTCGTAAGTAAGTCGGCACTATTAGTAATTTTGTTACCTTTGTAGCTAAGGCCTTGTTCAAATGGAAATCTAGTTATAGTAGAATTATATCAGGTATTTGGCTGGGAAGTGACTATCAATGACATTTCATATCAATGACAGCGATCTTCATCATCGATTATACGGTGTAACAAGAGTTACTAATAGTGTCGACTTTTAAATGTATAACTAAATAGGTTATGAAATTAATTCATTGTATTAATGAAAACGGTTTGGTTTGGTTGGTATTCGTATTAATACAATGAAATTATTTCATTGTATTAATGAAATCTGTTCATTGTACCAATGAATGTGTTCTTCAAATTAATGAACACTGTTCATTGATTTAATGAACTTAAAGTTCATAGAGTTAAT